CCCCAACTCAAGCAGGAGACCCCGTACCATTTCAGACAAGCGGTTGTCCAATCTCCTTAAAAACCTCCAATAATGGAGCACTTCACCACCAACCCCCCAACTGGCAACATCCATATAATACCCTTAACCAGTTCAAATGTAATCCCAGGATTGCATTCATACAAGATGGTTTGATTAATGTTAACCTTGGTTATTCTTTTTGTGACTTAATGTGTTGGGCAAATCCAGCCATTTGGTTCGTTTAAGGCAGTGGTTCCCAAACTTGGCAACTTTAAGGCTTGTGGATTTCAACTCCCAGAATTCTCCAGCCAGCTGGCTGGAGAATTCTGGGAGTTGAAGTCCACAAGCCTTAAAGTTGCCAAGTTTGGGAACCACTGGTTTAGGGGGTTCAGTTTACTCTAAATGAGTCAATAAATAAGTTGTGTGAATCCACCCATAGAGACTCCTTGACACTATCATCAAAATTCAGTGAGTAAATCGTAATGAAACAGCCTACTTTTCAGGGGAAGCTAAATCAAATGGGAGACACAACGTACCTATTTTATTCACCTCTCAAACTTGGGGTGGGGGAGGGCGGCAGAAGGAAATACCATTGCTAACCCTTCCAGCAATGACACCATTGGTTATTACTGTAACTTCTGTTAATGTTTAAAACTATTTTTAATAAAGGCCACTGGCTTTTGAAGATAAAAATAATGTGTGCCTCTGCAAGCCACAGTCACTGGTTTCCTACATTATGCTGAGCCAAAATGAAGCAAACCACATTAAGGGGACTGACTGAGGAGGCCCCAGATCTACCCTCTTGGCTCTTTGGGAACTGCTGATGGAAGCAGGGAATATTGGGGGCCCAGGGAGGGAAGAGAGAGGTTCGAGTCTGTCATTTGATTCCCGAGCTTAAACAGAGAATTCAAGGACAAAGGAGACGGAGCTGAGAGCAGCAGCACAAAAGATATTTGAGACCTTTCCTCTTATTTCCAGCTCCATTTCTAAATTAAGCCTAAAGTTAAGGGCTGGGGAAAATACAGTCAAGGAGATGATGCCTTCAAATGGCCTAAAAGCAGAGGAATTTTTCATCTGGAAATTCAGAAGCAAGTACAGTGGTGCATCCTTAATTGGTTCCAGGAGGCACAATGAAGTATCAAGAACAATGAGTACCAAACAAATTTTACCCATAAGGAATAATGTGAATAAATGTGATGCGTTCCCAAACCAAAGACAACGCACATTTTAAGGCAATATGTAGAAAGATGGGGTTGTATATCATTACTTTACATGAGAAATAAACCTAAGAATTAATAAATACTTAGGTTAAATAAAATTTTAAAAAAGCTTCACTTTACTGTACTGATGAGGGGGGGAAATGCACAAAATGGCCACAGAAGCCTGCAAGCCTGCAAGGGGATGTGCACATGGCAAAATCTCCCACATGATTAATTTGTTTCGGTGGAAAAAGTAGCAAGTCACGAAGCAAATCAAAACTGGCAAGTTCTAGTTTGCTCTTTGCGTACCAAACAAATGATGAGTACCGGGGCAAAATTTTCTCAGCAAAATGCATTGAATACTAAATTTGATGAGTCTCAAAGCAGTTGAGTACCAAGGTACCATTGCATACTTTTCCTCCCTATCAGTGTGCCAAAGGACAAGTAATAATTGGTTGGGTTATGTGGCTAAATTGCTACAGCTTTTAGACTGTGCTGTTTCTCTATGTCATATATGTATGTGTGTGTATCTGGGTATATGCATAATGGTTATCTTTTAAACGCTGAATGCAGTGAAGTTTCATTTTAATGTATGCTGATTAGTGTACATTTAAAGCAGTGGTGGGTTTCAACATTTTTAGAACCTCTTCTGTAGGTGTGGCCTGCTTTGTGGGAGTGGCTTGCTGGCCATGTGACTGAGTGGGAATGGCTTGGCAGCCATGTGATTGGTGGGCGTGGCCAACTT